TTAAACACTATTATATATCACAAAACTTAAACATAATAAAAATACCCTGTAAATGAAGTAACTGATAGTTGGATAAAGTTAGAGCTTAAAAGGGGTTCCACATTTGCCCATCCTCTGCACACATAAATTTGCGATAGAAATGAACTGTTACAGATTCTCTGAGGAGAGGCTCATATTTGTCTTTCAGCCTGAGGACTAGCTCTGTCTTTTCTCCAGTTAATGTTGCAGAAGTGAATGAAAATGAGGTGTAGGAAGAATAGCCTTGCTCACATGCTGTTAAGTTCAGCCAGGATGAACCTAGTCAAGGTTACTGGAAACTTGAACTCCTTCTCAAATCTCAATTGATTTGTGCCTTGTTTCTTCCCTACAGGTGGGCTTGTGTTTCCAAGTAGTCTTGGCATTCATCAATGTAAAACAGTAGGAAAGAGATGGAAAAGGTCATAATAACAACATAAGGAAATTCAACTGAGTGAAATGATGACTGGGGGATTCTAAAGAAAGCAGAAAGCTATTCGAAGGTCTAACTTTCCATTAATTCTCAGTGGCCTGGTCACATTCTGTTGCCTTTAAATTTGATTCTTTGGAGAAAGATAATTCAGTTTTACATGTTCTCAAAAGTTAGGATTGCCAAAGTTAGGATTTAAAGTCCTGCTTATTTGTAGCCCAATATGTTGGAAATACTTTTTCATCCTCCCAGTCTGGATCTGGTGCCTGCTTCTGAGCCTCTCTCTACTATTTTATCATGCTATGTTGAGTATTGCTTGTCTCATTTGTCCTTCCATTAGAAATCTAGCACCTTGAAATCATAGTGTACATTCCAGGCACAGACTCCCAACAGACTGCTAGATGCATTAATGAACAATGTGGAATCACAAAAGCTATAACTTGTATTCAAAACTTAACTTTGTTAAATGATCAACTGATCTGCTCTGTGTAACATTAGGGATAGCTGATACTCTGATGTTTCTGATATGGGGCAGCAGGGCTAATCTGGTGAGTCTGATAAATAGAACATCACTTCATCTGGTGAGATAGAAAGTGTAGTTCAGGCTTCCTGTTGGCCAGAAGGGGCTCTTCCTGCCTCATTACAACCTTGCTGTTCCTTTCTGCATGTGTGGAATAAATTTCGGTGTAATATTGCTAAAGTAATGTGTTTGCATTTTTTTGGTATCTTAGGAAGAGAGCCAAAAATGTCAGCATTCCATGTATTTAAAAATTCGTGTTACTTGCTTTTCTATTTTTATAGTTGTTACAATTTAACATTCATACGTCTTGGAGTGGTATGGTGACTTTAAGAAATTCTGAGTATAATGAGAAGTATTTGTCTTAGTATAATGGAAGATAAGACTTGGTGTATTTTTATTCTCATTGAAAGTAAAAAACAAATATCCTGGGAAAACCTTTTGCTTACCTACATCTAGTTCATAAGTTGAGCTTTCTTAAAAATCAGTACTTTATCATAGTTACAAGTCTGAATGTTTACACACTGATCTCTGGGTTATAAGGCTTATTAGTGTATGTACCTGGATATTACCAAGTTCTGTGATTCTGAATATAAAACATCCTTCTCAGGCTCTCCCTCCTTTGCATTTCCACTGGATCTGTGCTAGTTCTGATTTATACAACCTTTTAAATATAGATTTATTTATTTATTTAAGTTTGTTCTTATTACTTTTTAAAAATTTCTTTTATTTTTTTATCACACATTAATAATATAAGGGGATTTCATTGTGGTAACTTCATATATGTATACAGTGCATCTTGAACAAGTTCACCTCCTTCATTATATTCCCATTCCCCTGCTTCCTTTTCCTGCCTCTTTCAAACAGTGCTTGGTGGGTTTCATTATTCTGTCTTCATATGCATAAATGCAGCATACGTATATCATCCATCTTCCTCACCCATCAGTATCCTTTCCTTTCCCCCTTCCCCCTCTTTCTGATCTCTCGCTGACAGTCCTCCATACACATTCATGTCCCATCATCACCATCATCTTCGTTGTCATCACCACCACCATCATTTTAGGTCTAGACTCCACAAGTGAGCAAAAACATGCAATATTTGGCCTTTTGAGCTTGGCTTAGCTCACTCAGCATGATGATCTCCATTTCCATTAATTAATTAATTAATTAATTAACTGCAGTGTTGAGAAACCCAGAGTCTCATGCATGCAAGACAAGTGCTCTACCACTTATGTTTTACATCCCATCCCTAAAATACAGCTTTTCAGACGAAATCACTCAGGGTTCTTGAGATTCTTAATAATTTTGAACACAGGGTCCTGCACTTTCACTTTTCACTCTACTCTTTACCTTTCCCCTCCATCCCTGTATTCCCTCTTACCTGCTTGTTACTTCCAGAAATTTCCTGTGTATGCAAGCATATTTAAGTGTGTATTAGGTTTTATATTGATGGGATTGTTCTATATACACTCAATACTTGTTTTGCCTCCTTCATGCTACATGCTGGAAATTTCCCATCAAACAACTTCAGTCTCCCTAGCATCCATTTCCTTCTTCTCTTAAGTAGTCTGCATACTTCTTAGGGATGATTTTTCTGGTTAAGTCATTTTTCTGCTAAAAATGGAAAATGCCTTTCTGTTGTATATAAAATAAATCAATATTCTGGTAAACAAATCAGTCTCCATCAGACCACTGCCAGTGTATAGCAAATGGTTTCTGGGCATGCAGGTCTATAGGAGGGCTGTGGACTAGGACAGGCACTGCAATAAGCCCCTCTGCTGAGCTGCCAGCCAGCAGGTCTCTACTGAGCTCACCTGATGTGAGCATGGGCCTTGGTCTTCAGACTTTATAGTAACATTTTTTCTTACTAACAGCTTGAAAAAAGTGATCTCCCTGTCTTTCCTTTACCTTGTAGAGTTGCTAGTAATAAGCTTTGTAATTAGTAGAGATGATGCTATGGACCAAATGTTTATGTTCCTTCCAAATTCACAAGTTGACATGGTAATACCTAGTGAGGTATTAGGTGGAACCATTGAAAGGTAATTGTGTTTAGATGAGGTGATGAATGTAGAGTCCCCATGACAAGATTAGTGTCCTTATAAGAAGAAAAAGAGACTCTTTCTGTCATGTGAGGATACAACAAGAAGGAAGCCACCAAAACCTAACCACAGTGATCTCAGATTCCTCAGCCCAGAACTGTGAGAAATAAATATCTATTGCTTAAGTCACCCAGTCTATGTTATTTTATTATAGCATCCTCAACTAATGCAGACAGGGAAAAAGGCCTTTAACTTTCTGAAAGTTGATTAATACAAGGTGGAGGTTAGATTATGTTTACTTATTATTTTATTGATTTAAATGAGCCTGAGTAATAATACGTGTCATGTCCAAACCCATAGAATTCAGTGATGAACCTAGCATCTATGCTTTTCAGGTCAACAGAATCTGACATCTGGAATTTTCCTGAATGCTCTAAATTCTGAGGTCAGAATGGCATTCTGAGTTTAGAGACGTCTGGCTGGTGTGGCAAGAGCTATTGTCATGCCCCAGTACTGCACTTTTAAGCTATGGAGGCTGGATTGATAAAAATGGTGGTTGGTGGTTAAAAATGTCTGAGTCACAGACACTTACATGCTGGTCTGATCACCAGTGAATTGCTCAATGTCTCTGAGTTTTAACTTTCTTAAGTAGAAAACAGATACAATACTGTCTACCTCAAAGAGTTGTGGTTAAAAATAAACATGCTTATTTATTTCTTTACTCAACAAATGTTTATTTATGTATTTATTTATTGGTGCTGGGGTTTGGACCCTGGGCCTGCATATTCTAATCTCATATTCTGCCACTGAGCTATATCCTCAGGCCTGTAAATATTCATTAGATAGTTATTATTATCAAAACTGTGCTCAGCCGTGAGGTAATAGTGGTGACTCAAACTCATTCTCTGCCTTCGTGAAGCTTACAGTTTGGGGAGATGTTAGGTTTGAAAAAATTGGGGGCACAGTTCCTAATACAGAATCAAGGCTCAAAAAACATCTAAATAATCATTTTATTCCCTTCTCTTAAAAAAACCCTAATATTTGCTGCTTTATCACTGGAGATATTTTCAATCATGAAAATTAGTGCTTTTCCATTGAAATTATGAAACTGCCTATCTTTCTGCCCTGTCCCTATCTCCTGTCATTTTTTCTTATGCTAACTACTAATAGAAAATTTGGCATGTATTCTATCCAGTGTTTTTACAAAATATATCTTAATAGGGTTTTGGAAAAACCAGCTTTTAAAATAAATGTTTTCCAAGTGTGAGAACTTACATACAGTATTTAATAAAAAGTACTTTGACAATGTGGTTAAGGTTACTTACTTGATGTTAACCAAGCATCTCATTCTATGTGCCCATTTTTGCATATCTCAGAGTTCTGCTGGGTTCTATCTATTCAGAACATGCCTAGCAAGGAGATATTGCATGTCCAAGAAATCAGCTTAGAAGTCTCTCTAAAGACAGCAATCAGCCTAGTGAGGTCCATGTGAGACCTGCCCAGGAATGTGAGAGAAGATCAGCAAGGTTAGTGTGTAAAGCAATGCCATGCACTCAGTAAGCCTAGAAGTGAGTCTTGCATGCAGGAACATTGGCTGTCTTGTGCTGAGCTACAGATGTCTGTTTTAACAATGGTGCTGCTAAGGCCGCAGTTGACAAGGCCAGCTGCTCTGAACACCAACTGTCAGTTGACGTGGCGAGCGCCCACCAATTTGTGCTGAGAAAACAGCATGGAATTGGGTCAGTACAGGACACAATTTTAATATCTTCCATCTGTCAAACTGACTAACTTGGAGAAAAAAAATGAACATTCCGAACATGAATTACTAAAGTTCTTCCATGATAACATCTACACATAACTAAAAAAGCCAAGTGGCATTGGGTTAGTTTTTCTCTGAAGAGTAAGAAAACAGAAATTGGTCTAGCTGATGCAACAATTTGGCTTTTACTGCTGCAGGTGACACAAATTCGAAGCTTCCCCAGCTGGATCCAGAACCTACCTTCCTTTCTTCCAGGCACTGCTGGAGTTGAGGCTTAGTTAGGAGACCATGTTGGCAATTGTGGGGCTGCCAAGTTATTTCTCTCCAGTCACAGGTCCTGTTATCTGAACAACTAAGGCAAGGCACAATCCACTGGCCTGCAACAGATGGCAAAACTTCCTTTGGTTGGGTTTCTGCTGGTGAAGTTACAGTTTGCAAGTGACACACAATTATAGCAATTACAGTGAGAAAATCACTCATATCATGTAAATCCAGTGGGGCAATGCATGGCCTCCTGCTAACCAAACAGAAGGACAACAGGTAGTAATGTTCTGAAACAACACAGTTTGATATGAAATCACTTACCAGCTGTGTTCCATGAAACCATACACTTAGATTTAAAAACCTAGGTGATCAGATACTATTCAACCATTACTTATTTTCCAGCAGTATAGTAGGCATTTTGATAGGATTGTCAGTGGCTTCAAATTTTTTTAACTCAACACATGTTTAGATTTCCAACCTATATTATTAGAATCTATCTATTGATACATTTCTGTTCTCAAGGGATTTAAGATACAAGAGACTACTTCAGTATTCTAATAATTTACTATTTTGGAGATGAACTATACTTCTTAGTTTAACTGATGGACTTCTGGAGGTGAAACTTCAGCCTTTTCTACCTATAATTTCTTCATCTGTCAGGTGAGATGTCCAGTGCTCTTGCATGAGCCATGTGAGGATGAGATGAAATAAACCATTTAAAGGGCCAACCACAATATTCACTGGCAGAGTTCTACTTTTTGAGTTAGAAAGAAAAAAAATTTAAAGACTTTGTCCATTCTGGGTCTGATTTATTCACTGCTAGCAAAAATCTCTGATGTGATATGAATTTTACTTGGAAGAATTTCTACTTTCAGGGAATGAAGATAGTACATTTTACATTCATGATTTCAGGAATGTCAGAATTGAGGGTTTGTGTTTGTGGGAATAGTTGTAAATAATTAAATAGAAAAGGGAGTATAGTTTATGGCTTTTCCTTACTGGCCACAGACAAGGAAAAAGTGTGAGCTTATTGAGGGAGACAAACTGGGAGGGAGAAAATAAAATAAAAAGGAAAGGAGATGAGAAAATTATGAATTCCAGGGAAGGGAAGAATGTGTACAACAGAATCACTTTAGGGGACAGAATGTTGAGCAGAAATACAGAAATAAAATTAAAAAATAATGCGGACATAATTGGTCCTCTTGCCATATTTTTTTGCTTTGCTTTGATTTTCAAATGTGATGAGAATTCCAGAATACTGCTTTGTTCAGTGTACCCACTGAGTACTTACTACACAATTTCAGGAATGGTGAATGGTACTCCATTTCTCTACATGTATATCACTCTCCTAATATGTTCTAATTTAAGGCACTAAGTATCTATACACTATTTGTAAGGTGGTATTTGTATTAAAATGTCATGCTAATTTAAAAAATAGCTAACATTTATATAGCACTCCCAAATGCCAGGAATATTCTAAATGCTTCAATATATTAACTTACTTAAATCTCAGAACAACCCTGTCATCACCTTCTGAGCTGGGGTTCAGAAAGTTTAAGTAATTTGTTGACCTTCAGCAAGGAAGGAGGTGGTAGAAGTAGGATCTGATCTGCTCCAGGGCCTGTGCTGTTAACTATAATGCTACACCTGAAGAATTGATATTCAGGTTCAAGGGTAATGATTTATACATGTAAAATAATTATAATATCTTAACAGAGAATGCATAATTGAATAAAAATCTGTATGTGGTAGTGAAAGAGTCATACACATGTTGCCTGTGCCTCCTCTAACTAGCCTTGGACTTCAGTGTTGACTGAAAATTGGAGCTTTTTAATATTCCCATTCATAGGTTGTATCCTAGACTGATTAAACCAGAATCACTAGGTATGGAACTCAGACATAATTACTTAGACTAATTACTTAATCTACTCATGATTAAATTTACTTCTTCATAAGGAAAATATGTATAGCACCTGCCATGGTGCCTGATACCTAGTAATTGATGAATATACTTTACTTTCATGCTCAGAACCCCAGTAAGTCATGGTTGTTCAGAATAGAAGAAGAGTCATGGAGGTCAGAGTTCTCTGGAAGCTTCTATGGAGCAGGTGATGTGAACAGGGCTTTATAGATCAGTAAGATTCAGAGACGTTGAAAGGGTGGTGTCTTAGGGACAGTGAGGAAGAGGCCTGACAGGAGTGAGACAGAACTGACTGTCCTTCACATAGAGTGCATATGTTGGAGAAAAGGGGGGTCTACTGGGTGAAAGATGTTTCCCAAGAGTACAGAGCAGTGCTACCACTAAAAGACAGAAAATGTAGGGGAGGTTTTTGAATATCAAAATGAAGATTATCTTTAAAAGTGCCCATTTCTTCAGCTGATTCTCACTGATACTTCCCCTTATTCTGAATACCTCTCTTTCTAATTCTAATTTTGCTCTGACACACATAGTTTGTAATCAGTAATCAACATCCTTCATATCTTTGCTTGGCTTCTTCTAATACTGTTTGATTTAGACACAGCCTAAAGTTAATGTTCATTGATAAATCCCTCAAGAAAACCTAGTTGGGATACAGGTAGTCTTCCTTCCAGAGATTTTCATCCAGTGTGTACATAGAATCATACTGACTGGGGTTGGAATGGAACTTGGAACTCATACTTTCCTTCCTCTTATTTTATGGATGAGTAAAGTGGGGTATAAAGAGTTAAGTAAAGAGTGGGTGATGTAGGTTGTGTTGTCATTACAGAGCTGGGCTGAATTAAGCCTCCAATATGTTGGCTCTATTGTCATGTTAAGCTATGTCAACCCAAAATCATCTGCTAAGCTCACAATATGGCCCAAAAGTCTCCTTGATAGCATTTATAGGAAACCCCACAAACTGGCTGTTATAATGAATTTGTCTTTATTTTAAAAAGCTACATTTACTCAGTGGGCTCATGTGTTGACAGAGACTATATTTAAACAAAGGTTTCTAATTTTGTTTCTAATAGGATGGCAGTATGTCAGGTGCATAAATATTCTTCTGAAAGTTTTCATCACTGAGGCCAATAGGAGAAGGGGACCAGGAACTAGAGAAAAGGTTAGATCAAAAAGAATTAACCTAGAAGGTAACACCCACGCACAGGAAATCAATGTGAGTCAATGCCCTGTATAGCTATCCTTATCTCAACCAGCAAAACCCCTTGTTCCTTCCTATTATTGCTTATACTCTCTCTACAACAAAATTAGAGATAAGGGCAAAATAGTTTCTGCTGGGTATTGAGGGGGTGGGGGGGAGAGGAAGGGGGCGGAGTGGGTGGTAAGGGAGGGGGTGGGGACAGGAGGGAGAAATGACCCAAGCCTTGTATGCACATATGAATAATAAAATAAAAAAAAAGTTTTCATTAGATCCCTGAATGTATGAGTGTGTGCTTCCCACCACCACCCAAGACATTCTGCTTTGCAATCTTACTGACCACTAGTTTTCACAAACCAAAGTCCTCCTTGGCCACTATCTATGAAGAAAAAGTGGCAGTTGCATACACTGCACATATAAAAGATGCTTGATTTAGTCTCTGAGAACTTGGCCCCATAGTTCATGCTACTACATGGTTACACAATCATAACTTTTTGCAGTTTTACATTGGTTAGCAATGCCTTGTTTTTATTGTGAATTACTAATGCTGCTTGAAATAGCCATCTGTATAACATCTGTAGGACTGGGTTCCTGACATCTTAAATGACACCAGCTCTTCACTAAAATTGTCCAAAAAAGGGATATAAATTCTATGTTATATATTTAAACACTGAATGAATCAAAGCTATTATTTCTGAAATAAACTATGACATATGTTTTAAGGAATAACTTTCTGAGAAATGAAATTTCCTTGTAAGAGAGGTTATTTTACTTATAGTTATAGCTCTATGTTGAGCAAGTTAGATTTCAGGCATTTAAGCGAATCAGATTGAGTCATGTAGTGAAGAAAAAAGTTCAGCTTTGTGATTTAGGGCCATGGTGAGATATAAATTCATGTAAGTGTAAGCACTAATTCCTGGCTCCATAATGTCAGAAAATAAAGTGATTTCTTATTAAGAATAAAAACTCTAATATAGTTAATATTAGAAGTATTAGAATATTATATTTTCTTTGCAAACATAAGATATAATGAAATCTTTTAATTATTCACATATGATAAAAGTGCAATTTGAGGTGTTTTCTTCAAAATTAATTCTCATTCAATGATCACTGTATAATTTTCTTCTTTCTCCTTATTAGAACAATTACTTTTTTCTTAAGCAACATATTTAATTCTTAGTTTGTGTCAGATCTATGTTATTTCCTAAAGCATAGATATCAATTTAAGAGTAAAAATATAGTTATTCAACAGTATAGTAGTTAGTATTATTGAAAAAGACATTTGACATGATTACATTGCCTTGTGAAAACAATGAGTCCTTGCGGTTGAGGGCAAGCTCAGTGCTTGCCTACCGTGTGTGAGACCCAGGGTTTGAGCCTCAGCTCTGAAAAAAAATAAAGATCCAGTGTTAACAAATAAATGCAATATGTTATTAAAATAAGATTTTTAGATCAGTCTGTGTTTGGCTGTGTAAGCTAAACATAGAGAGCCCAAATAAACTTCCTTCCAGTTTTGCCTATCATGACAAATTCCTCTTTCAACAGGACGGAATCCTGCTACCATGGAAGGAATCACTGGCAGCAAATAATACATCCTTGAAAACTGCTGTCCTGACTTCACTCAGTACCTCTGAATATGTGGCCTTTAGGAGCTATGGGGGGAGAAGTTCATCCTAGTGATGTGTTCTGTCTACTCAGTCTTCTGTGGAAGGAAGGATAGGATCTTAGTTTAGCAACCATTTGTAGTCATATATTAGACATTGGAAGATGACTAGGGACAATTTATGCTCTGGAAATACATAGTTTTTGGAAACCATCAGTAAAAACGTATTGGTCATGTACTCTTGACGCATTAGTACACGCACACTTTGATATATGTATAGATACTCCTATATTTTTATATATTATGTCCACTATAAAACAAAATAAAAGTGAGTAGACAAAAAGGAAGTGCACATATATCGTCATCTTTATTGGCTTCACTCCTATGGATTGCCCTGTGCTGTTGCCTCCCCTATCTCATGTGCATCATCCCATTTTGGAGACAAAGAGAGCCATGTAAGCACATACTTGAAACAGAATGAGGTAAGTGCTATTTTAGAGCTGTGCTAAGATTGCTCTGGGAACACAGAGAAGAAGCTAAACAGGGAATGGGGTGCAGAAAAGGAGAGGTTTCCTGGAGAAGAGACACATCAGAAATCAAGCTAAGACAGGGAGGAAGAGGACTTTAGCTGAGTGAACAGTAAGGACCAGAACCTGGAGTTCTGAAGCAGCAGTATCAATATAAAGTGAGGCAAGGAGGCTGAGAGGAGGTGAGAAAGATGGGAAGGGGCTGGAGTTAGGAGGCCTTGAATTTTGTGGCTTGACTTGGCTTGGTTTGGTGGTTCATTCAGCAGCAATTTCTCTGGAAGGGCCCACTGACTGCCAAATTAAGCCCTTCTGATCAAGTTCCAGAAGGCTGCTGTTCTGTGAAAACCCTTCCCGGAAGGTCCAAACACAAAGACAGCAATCACAGAGCTTGACAGAAGTGACTGCACATGTAACAGTCAAGAACAAGCTGCCACTTCTTGAGGAAAAAAAGTTCTTGTTGAAGAACTTTTGGCTTGGTGCAGTAGGAGGAATATAATTAAGTTGTTTTATGATTGTCATAAATTGCCATCTGATTTAAAAAATATTTAATGGCCACATCAGTGTCTCCTTTGTACATTAAGAGTATGTGTCTCATTTAGCAGAGACTCACAAATCACATACCTGACACACTGTAATGGGTAAATTCCTCCCTGTGCATTGACTGGAATTTACTATTTAGAACACATGTTCAAGAATGGGGGCGTGCCCATGTTTGTTAACTGTGCGTGCCAAATTGCAATTTTCACTGCCCATTTGGGAAACACATTTCCTATTCCAGCATGGGGTGAAGTCCATGGCAAGGGTGGAAAAGCTCCTGAGTGCTTTCTCAGATTCTTTTAGATAGAGAGACCTGGGCTGAAGAGGAAAGAATGGTAACCCGGAATTTGGAGAAGATGCTGCCTACTACTTTATTACTTTGGGCACATTTTTAGTTACAGCTTTTGCTTGATGCATCCCCAGTGGGAGAATATTGCTGGGGCAGGAGAAAAACAGGGACTGAAGAGAGTGGCGTGAAAGAGGTATCTCATTCCAGGTGTGCCCAAGACTTAGGCAGAATTTAACACTGCAGTTTGAATCTGATGTCTTAATTTTCCTGCTAATATTCATGCTCAAAATATGGGGAACATTACTGTTTACCCCAAGGGCTTTCCAAAATGAGGAGAAATTCTTTTAAAATGCACCTTATGTCTTTTACAGTTCTTTGGTTCACCACAGATATTTATTTTCTACCTACTATGTGCAAATTATGTGTCAAGTGAATTAACATAATGCAAAGAAGCATTGTGAAGCAACACCCAGGGAACACTGACATTAGACAATTAATTAGATGTGCAATTATTTAAGTAATTGTAATTATGATGGAAGAAAAGTACAGAGTGTTATGAAATGTATAAGGAAATGAAATGGAGGCATAAGGAAAGCTTCCTGGCAGAGGTGACTTTTGAGTTGGACTAAGTAGGCAAAGAGGGGAAGGTGAAAAGAATTTGATTAATCGAAGTATTTCAAATATTAAAACAATGTGTTTACAGTAATATGGATTGCAGTTCATATTAATAAAAAAGCAATGTTCTTGTTTTTTTTTACAAGAATAGATTAGCTAAGCATATACTTATCTATTAGAAGGTTTGTTTTAAAGAAATGATTACTAGTGTGATAGTTACCTTTTGTGTCTCCAGATAGGCAACTCTTTAGTTCAGGGTGTGAAATGGCTTCAATGTAGTCAGAAGAAATGGGCTGTAACCCACAGGATTCCTCTGGATGAATCAACAAACCACAATCCTGCATTAAAGTGAAAGAAATTAGTTGTCATAGTCATTAACCCTATGATCCATGGTAATGGAATTTAAAAAGAGATTTTCTGTATCAAACTTCTTTTTGTTTGTTTTTGAGACAGGGTTTTGCTATGTAGCCCAGGCTGGCCTTGAACTTGTTATCTTCCTGCCTCTGCATCCCAAGTGCTGGGACTATAGGCATGTGCCAACTTGCCCTGCTTGTGCCAAATACCCTTATGGATTAAAAGTGGACAGAATGAAGGGAGTTAGGAGAAGAAAAGGTGGTACCAAAGTGCACACTGTGTGAGATAAAAGAATGATGGGGTACTCTGGAAAGAGCACCACTGTGCTGGGAGTTGTACTTGTAAATCTGAGATCCAGCTATGCCATGAACTGGCTGTGTGACAGTGAGTAAGTCACTGATCTAGTTTTCTTATTACAACATGGTGAAAGGTGGAGAGAGGTGAGGGAAAAGAATTGCATCAAATGATCTCCAGTATTGTGGCAGATTGCATTAAGGTTCCTATCTAGTCTCTCTCTCTCTCTCTCTCTCTCTCTCTCTCTCTCTCTCTCTCTCTCTCTCCTCTCTCTCTCTCTGTCCTCTCTCTCCCCATCTCTCTTTCTCTCTACCTCTCAATCCTTTTGGGGAGGGGTAACAATATTCCCAGCCCCAGCACATGGAACACAGTTCTGGCCAAAGAAATATAAGTGGGCATCAGTTGTAGACCTGTGGAAAAGTTTTATTTCCAAGATGCCGCTGTTTCTTTGTCACTTTGTTTATTCTTTGCTTGGAATACAAATGGGATCTTGGAGAGTGAACAGACATCTTTTGATCACAGGTCAACCATGAGCAGAAAAGATAATACCGATGACATTTTGAGCCACAGTGTCAACTTTGGGCTGCCCACCTCTACACCTTTCCCCATGGGAGGAACATGAACACTAATTGGTCAAGCCATTATAGAAATGTAAGATGCAGCCAAACTTCTCTCTTCCTCTAAGAGTCTACAATATTCTTTTCAGACCAAAAGAGCCTGAACGGTTGGCTCCCTACAGGAAGACAGGTCTCCTTCCAGAGTAGAGCAGTTGCTTTCTGCACAAGAGATGAAGTTCCCAAGAACATCGCTTCACTGTTCGCACACCCAGGTTTTTTGGGGCTTCATGATACATTTCCCTCAATGTTTTGTTGTAATGTTGAGCAAAGGCATCTGCTGGTACTCTACAGGCCCCACCCCTCATTCAGGCAAAGACCATGTGAGATCTGTACACCAGGAGATTGCACCACATCTTATATGCTTAACCCTCATATCTGCACCAAATGCAATGCTGTTGTCCATCTCTCCTCCCCTCTAATCCTGTATGCACCACATTTCTCCTGTCAGATAACATGCTACCATGATTTCACTGCCATCCACAGTGAGTAAACCCTTCTAGGACCCTCAAAGTCTTCCCACAAAGTTCTCTCCATTGGAAAAGAGACAGTTTGTCTGCAGCCATCTCCAGAGGAGGCTGGCTGCTAAGCTCCTCGTCCTCCCCCAGTTTGGCAGGAAGTTTCCCTTCTGTCAGCCAGCTGCCTCTTTCTAACATCATTCCATTGTATTCCCTTTCCCTGTGACTCTTTTTTACCTAGCTCTTCACTTGGAGCTGTCTCTGCCGACATTTTAATTATGTTCCACAGTTACCAATGTGACACCTTGGTCATTACCTTTCTTTTCATTTCACAGTTTGCCATAAAATGTCTGTTTGAATCCATTCTGTGTCATTCATCTACATCTTTGAACAAACCTTAGAACTTCTCAATCAAGCCAAAGCTGCCCACCTTTCATCTTAAATTCTGATATGTTTTCTCTGAACGAAATGTGTTTTTCTTCTAAACTTATTTCTGCTCCTCCTTAGTCATGCAGAACTTTGAGTGCTATGGTCCTGACCCCCTCCCACTTTCATGACTATTCTATCCCTTTTTCATTTTACCAAAAGTACCCAGCAACTTTCTGATCTTGTGACAATATAATCCATCTCCATCCAGGTTTGACACATCCCTTGGTGACATTAGTGAAAATCACACAAATGTAAGGCATAAATGCTACAAGCATTTCTTGCTGGTGTCTTAATACTGCCTGTAATATTTCTGCTATTCTATTTGGAATTCTTCCCATTCTCCACAAAGGCTATTTCAAATCTTCAACATTCTTCTTATACTCCTGCATTTCTGCATCTCTATTGGTCTCACTGGATGATCTTGTCTTCTAATTCACAAAGAATATATAGGCCATCAGTTTTGCTCAGTTTCTTGCCACTTTACCAATAAACTAACTGTAATCAGCTTTATCTTCTCTGATTTTTCTTATGTTGTAGAAAAATATGCCTTCTATCTGTGAAAAGTTTGCCTCTTTCACATATTTTTCTTTTCATTTCCTTCTTCTGAAAAAACTCACCTCCTTGGCTTGATTAACCAAGTTACGAGCTGTTGCCCAACCCTTCCTCTCTGGCCAGTTCTAAAGTTGTGCCCTTGACTCTTCCTTTGCACTCTGGGAAAAATCATTCACCTTCAATGGCAGAATCTCTACTCACATGAGCAAAACTCCCAAACTGTATCTGTGCCTAGGCCACTCTCAAGAGTCCCAGACACATAGTCATTACTTTCTGGACATCTTTCTCCCTTGAGATCTCATGAGCACCTCAATTTCAATATAACTGCATGATACCAAGGTTTGGGTCAAAATCCATTTTGCTCTCCATTTTTTCTTCCTTTCTTTTTCTAAACAGAATGTGAATAACAGTTTTCCCCATTTCACTTACAGGTAAGAGTGGCCTTTGACACAACTCTGGCCAGTAAGATGTAAAGAGAACCTTCTGTATATTCTAGGAAATGTCTGTGGTTTTCTGATACAGAGGCTGTGCTTTCTTGTCTCTCTTTTCTAGTTCCCTGCTTTTCAGAACAAAGACTTGATAGTTGAAACAACAATTCTCTAGTGTTATAAGTGAAAGGCCTAGAAAATTGTGAAGACTTTAGTTCTGACTTCCTTGACCTACTATAATTATTTGTTTCTGGATATTTTGTTTTATAAGAGGAAAATGACTTTTATTTATTTAAGATATTATTATTCAGGTTTGCTAGTGCCCACAAAATTGCCAAAATTGGCCTTAAAATCATCATTCCCACATCTGTCCCATACCCTATAATTTCAATACCAAGAAATTAGGAGAGATCCAGTTTTTAAGCCAGACACCTCAGTTATCTGAGTCTACCTTCTCTTCATTCCCCTGGCATCCAACCTATCACTAGAACTTCATATAGACTTTTTGGGTTGTTTTGGCAGAGCTGGGTTTCGAAACCAGGGCCTCATACATACTAGACTAGCACTAGCATTGTATAACTAAGCTACAGTCCCAGCCCTCAAAACTTTCTTATTTTGGTTGAATTCTTTTGTCTCTTGGTTTCCATTGCTACTATTTCATCTGTGCAGTTGTATTAATTTTTCATGGAAATGGCCTGGAATTTTTTTTTCCAGTGCTAGGTCTGCAAGGACAACCACTGAGTTTATATCCCTAGCCTTATATTTACCTCTTAATGGATCTCTCTTGCAACCAGTTCTGTTATCCACCTATGCCTCCATGTTTTGCATTACTGTTAGTCATCTTTCTGAAATGTAAATCTTATCTGCTCCCTTTGCTGCTTCAAATTGTTCAAGAGACTGAATTGCATTCAGAGTAAAAATTGGTTGCTGCCTTCATTTCTTGGCTCATCTCTATCCAGTTCTACTAATATTTACCCCCTACTCTTTAACCTGAATAACTGCTACTTTCTCTGATGTCTCTGTTTCTTTACATACACAGCTGTCTGCTCCATCCATCACCTGCTTAACTCCTATTCATCCTTCAAAACCTCTCTTCTGTAGCCTTCCACCTTTAGAAAGCTATCTTCATGCTCTAAGGGGTGGGTTTATATAGTATTGTTCTCTTTCTATAACCTTATTAACATTGTTTCTTTATTGCCTGTTCTTTTGCTGGGAGAACATGGAGTCTAACTTCTAAGTCTATGGTTTCAGTTTTTATAACACAGACCTGGGAACAGAACATAAATGCAATGAATATTGTCAACACATGAATGCATGAATGGAGCAATTGGAAGGCATGTGTTGTGGGAGATGTGCCACGAACTTTCTAAAAGACTGTGCATCCTTCAAAAAACCAATGTCATATTATTACCTCTCACTATCCAGGAGAAAAGTGACAAAGTAAGTTTAAATGAAAAGTATTTCATTCTTAAGTATGTTTTAAGGCACTCACATTTTTTTCAGGATTTGTACTAAAAGATGACTAAACATTTTTAGAGACAAAAATTAAGTTACACTGAATGGTAAACTTAATTTAAGATGTAATAATATTGCATTAGGGAATATTGATTTTATCTTTAGAAAATGTTTCATTAGATATTGACATCAGCAAAGAGAATTTTATTTTTTCTTACAAATTAATCATAGTGAGCTTCCAAGAAATTTTCTGGGTGCATGTATGATATGATATTTTATAAGTACCATAAAGTGAAAATGCATAATGAATGTGGTTTTATATTCATAGTAATTTTCACAGGATTTTATTTATTTTCTTCTCTGAAATTCAATCTATAATTTTGATTTTAAAACTTTTTCTCCTTTTAGCAAGAAGATTGACTTCATAAAACTATTCTACAAAGCAGGGTCACAGATCTTGAGTCATATATGACTCATACTGAATATGCTTATTATGGAAAAATATACCAGAAATAGAGCATAAATTTGGGAGCTACTTAAACTTGGCCTTTTATGTATTTAGGATATGTGATTTTGTTTCTCACACAACTGTTCACTTGTGTATTGCCATAAAATTACCATATTCAATATGAAAATAGAAGAATGAAGCCTGAAATTGTTCTAAGAAGGGAGTATGGGGGAAGAGGGAGAACAATGGATGGCGTAAATCTAACTAAGATATATTTTAAACACATATGTAGATATCACAATGTATCCTTTGCATAATTATTACATGCATATAAAAATCATAAAAAATAAAATGTCATACTCAAATTGAGAGAAGAGTCATTAAAAAAATCACAACTA